AGGGAGGCTTGGCCCTTGACTGTGGTCTTTGCTTCATTTTTAATTTGGTCATTTTTTTTTAACCCAACCACCTAATCCTAAAGGGGTAGAAAGTATCTTGGACATAAACATCTATTTATGTTCAAAAGTTAAAAAGAAAAAATAATCACTCTTCAATTGTTCATTTGGACTAGGGTTGCTAGATTTAGAAAACAAAAAACACAGGCCTTCCAGTTAGATTTGACTTTCACAAAAACAATGAATAATTTCTAGTGGAAATTAGAAGTTTGCACAAGACAGGCTCATCCTGGAAGCAACTCACTGTTTCTTTGACTCAAGATTAGCTGGGTGTCCTATATCTTATTTACAATCCTCACTTGGACTTGAGGTTTCCAGGGTCCAAAGCCAAAATGCCTGTCTTATAAGCAAAAATCCTGGAGCCACCAACAACCTCTAGGAATTGCCTGAGCCCTCCCCGCCTGCAGGGTACATGATGGTGCTCCTTGTCCAGAGCACAAGGAGCTCCCCGGAAGGTAGCTCTGCCTGTGAGTGTCAAGCTTTGTACACCCACAAATTCAATGTGCAACCACGTACCATGTGTGTGGGATATGACACCATAGGCCTGGAAAGGGACCTAAATCCCAGTCATCACCACCCAGGTCTCTGTGACGAGGGCCACAGCAGAGGAGCCAGTAGAAGGTAAATGAGAATTTGGGATGGACAGGAAAAGTTCCCATGGTGGAGGGGTGGGTATCCAGCCCTACAAGCGCCTTTGGATAGAACTTTGCAGATGGTGGGACAGGCAGGTGTTCCTTGTCAGGAAGACTCTGCAGAGGGACCCTGATGGTATCTGCAGGTCAGGAAATAATTGTTTTCTGGGCCAAGTCTTGGTTCAGCCTAAGGAAGAGCAGGTGGTATCAAGTCTAGAAAGACTGATTTTCCCTCCCTTGTCGCTCACGTTAGAAGATGAGTTGGCAAATTATCCAAAAACAGAGGCAAAAACATTACTACTTTTCTAGCCATGAACGTCTTCTAGAATTCTTTCAGGATTTGATATTGTTAATTGCCTCATTACTTACCCACACTCTCAGCCCCTGACTACTAATTAGAAGGTGGGAAATTCCCTGGAGAAAGGAAAACCAGAAAATACACCCAGCGTTGCAGGCCTGGTGTTCTGGGGACTGTGTTCCCTCCCACAAGGCCATCAGCGCTTGCTCCCCTCAGGTCACTCCTTAGCCCATGTCTGTCAGGAGAAATATCACGTAGAAGAGCTGCCACTGTCGCTGCATGGAAATGACCTTGGATGGCGGTGTTCCACCCGTGGGGGGGCAGGTTGGAATGGCTGAATGGCCTGGACACCAGGAAGCCATGCCAGTTCAGGCAAATGTTTGTCCAAAGCGAGGCATTGCCTGGTCTAGGTCTTCAATCAGCCACATAGGTCACAGAGGTTCGTACCACGGTGAAAGTTTTGTCCGTAAGCACTTGGCCAATGTGTTCTGTGCGTAACAGGAAGAAGGGCTGGGAAGGATTTGGAAGAGATAAAAAGAAGAACCCCTTCAAAGAGAGTGGTCATCCAGGTGGGGAAGGAGACAGTGCCAAACCATCCTCTGGACTGAAGCCTGGTCTGAATTGGCCCCCAGCAAGTGTTTGTGGCAGAAGTGAAGTCCATCAGTTGACTAATCTGTGAAGCAGACAAGACACCTGCTGAGGAAATGCAGAGCTGGGAGCTCCCGGGCTTTGGGGAACATACAGAGTGCCAGAAAGGAGGGGCAGGGCACTTGCAGGAATGGTGAAGCGGGCACAGGGCCAGGGCGGGGTACGGGATCAGACTGCGGGGAGAAGGAGCCAAGCCTCATGACAGAGCAGTGTGCCTCAGGCAGCACGTGGTTCCGGGAGGAAGACATCCCGAGGCCTCAGGGCGAGAGGTGGCAGGCCAGTGGGCATGGCAAGCTCTGACCGGTGACCTGCAGGCAGGGCCCTTTGAAAAGCTCTCCCTTAAACTCCCCTTCTTGGAGAGCCCTGCAGAGCCATTTGCAAACGCAGCTGTTCTTGATGCAGGCTCTTCTCATCAACGAGGAAAACGATGGGTTCTGTGGGGGCACCATTCTGAACGAGTTCTACATCCTCACTGCTGCCCACTGCCTCCACCAAGCCAAGAGATTCAAGGTGAGGATAGGTAAGTGACACCTGCCCCTGAGCCCTGGGGCACCATCTTCACTGCCGTTGCCTCCTGGTCAGGGCCATCACGGTAGACGGCCTATGGGAGACATTTGATAAAACACAGAAGCCGGGCTGGAGGCTTGGCTCAAGTGGTAGAGCACCTGCCTAGCAGGCAAGCAGAAGTTCAGACCTCAGTACCGCAGACACAGAAGCCCTGTTTGAGGGCTGGAGTCATGGCTTAAGCGTGGAGTGCCTGTCTGCCTAGCAAGCATCAGGCCCTGAGTTCAAAACCCAGTACCTCCCCCCCAAAAAAAATCCCAGTTTGAGGTGAGATCAGGAGAGGGCAGAGCAGGGGGAAGGGAGGAGGAGGAAGAGGACAAGCTCGCTGTAAGCCTGGCCCTTCCCCACCAAGGTCACCCCCCACACCCACCCCCTTCAGGGTCTCAGAGGCCCTGCTCTCTCCTAGTGTCCTTTCCTCAGAAGTCTTCCCGGCCTCCCTCTCTGCCACACTCTTTGAGCCTCATACTCTAATTTATGGATCCTTTAGTTGATGTCTGTCTGTCTGTACTAGAATAAGAGCTGTCCAGTGAAAACCCAGTGCAGGCCACAAATGTGAGTTGAAATTTTCTGGTAACATTAAATTCCCCATTACAGGTATAAGCAGGTGAAGTCAATGTTAGTATTACGTCTCATTTAGTGCTATTTACCCCCAATACGAACATTTCCGTGTGGAATTACACAAAACAAACTTCAGTTATTAAGGAACCAGCCAGTGTTCTCCTCTCACTCTCAGCCTGACACGCCGCACTCCCAGCTTGTCTCAGCTCAGACGGGCTGGGTTCTGGGGCGCAGGCCACAGGTCTAGACTAGGAGACACTTTGCCTGAGTACCTAGACCGGACCAGCCCATGGCGCACACTCGGGAGCATCTCCCAGAAGCACTGAGGAGGTGAGAGGACTTGAAGTTCTAAACCAACACACACAAATGTGAATGAGGCAAACCCTCTGGAGGAAGACTTAGGCCATTTTAGTCCCTCTTCTTGCTTTCCTGCAGTTTCAAATATGACTTCACACCTTTTTCTTTTCTTTCTTTAATTTTGTGGCCCTGTCTCACTGCGTAGCCCAGGCTGGTCTCAAACTCTCAGCCCTCCTGCCCCATGCACCATCATGGTTCCAGTTTCTTTTTTTTTTTTAACTTTTTGCAGGACTGGGTGGGGTTTGAACTCACTAGCTAGACAGGCATTCTTACTGCTTGAGCCATTTCACTAGCCCACAGTTCCATTTTCTGGCTGGAACAAAATAACTTCTGTAAAAGTGTTCCAGAAAGGCTTGGACAGAGACAAAGACAGAAGGGACAAAGGCTGTGGAGAGGAAGTAAAGGGTCCTCCTCTCTGGCACACAGAGGAAACACCACTCACTTCATCCATCTCCAGCCACTCCCCTTGCAGGGATTTAGGCATCTATGGCCATAGTGAGTCTGTATAAGCCCCGAACAGGAGGCCCTGTTAGGGTTTACCCTAGACCATATGAGTTCACCACAGACCTGTGGATTGGGTATCCACATGGCTTCATAACCTAGGCTACATTGCAGGCTCACACTTGCACACACTCTCACACAGCACAGTACTTCCACCCTGCCCCCTGAACCTGAAAGACATGGTTTCATCTCCCAAAAGGGCAGTTACTAGGGTATCTTTGTTGGGAGTTGATCAGACTCCCCTTCTGCCTCCTGAGGCAGGCCTGAATTTGAACCCAGGTTCTTACCAGTCTGATAAGTGGGGCTCCCAAGTTGGTTCCTGAGCCTTTTAAGGTTCCTTTGTGCAACCAGAACTTGCCTCCTCAGCTCACTTGGAGAGAGGCTCCCTCCACCCAGATCAACACGGTCCAGTGGCGCCTGCAGGGGTGGCCCTCCCAGTAGGCTGGGGACGCTGAGCCAGTGACAAGGAGGTGAAAACACCACCCTCCAAATCCCAGACAAGCCCCCAGAAATGTTGCAGGAGGGCTCAGACAGAGACTGAGAGGGCACCAAAGGTTCTGGGAAGCAAGTTTATTAAGCAGGCCAGCAGCGACTCAGTGGGCTCGAGTCCAAAGGCTGAGAACAAAGGGGGCTTTCCTTATGTACCATTTAGAGCAGGTCACAGAAATGGGGGATACACCTTGTCCCATACATAGTCACATGTTATTTCATTGGCTGTTTTAACCTCTGGCACAAGGTGACCCTCCTCTGGTCTCCAAGAAACATTCTCCAACTCCGGTTTTCCTTAGTTTCACTGTAGCACTCATTTTTTCCTCCCCCCGCCCTGCCTTCCTGACACTAAAGTACTCATGTGAAATGCCTGGCTCCAAGGAACTAACCTTGGTCCTGTTCCCTCTGGCTTCAGGAGACCGAAACATGGAGCTGGAGGAGGGCAATGAGGTGGCGCATGAGGTGGAAGTGATCATAAAACATAACAAGTTTATGTTGGACACTTACGACTTTGACATCGCAGTCCTCAAGCTGAAGACACCCATCGTGTTCCGCACGAACGTGTCTGCTGCCTGCCTGCCCCAGAAGGACTGGGCAGAGGCCACGCTGATGACACAGAAGACGGGCATTGTGAGTGGGTTTGGACGCACGCACGAGAAGGGTCTCCCATCCACCACGCTCAAGATGCTGGAGGTGCCCTATGTGAACCGCAACACCTGCAAGCTGTCCAGCGGCTTCACCATCACCCAGAACATGTTCTGCGCTGGCTACGATGCCAAGATGGAGGATGCCTGCCAGGGGGACAGCGGCGGCCCCCACGTCACCCACTTCAAGGGCACCTACTTTGTGACAGGCATTGTCAGCTGGGGAGAAGGATGTGCGAGGAAAGGGAAATACGGGATCTACACCAAGGTCTCGGCCTTCCTCAAGTGGATCAACAAGTCCATGAGGGCCAGAGGGCTGACCACATCTGAGCCCTCAGTGTTGGTGCATTAAAGCTGTCATTCTCAAGGTCTGCTGGGGCCATGGTTGGTGTTGTTTAGTGTTGCTGGGGAGCAGGGCAGTTCTGTAGCAGCTGCGCACCTCCAGTGACCAGTTCTCCTGGTCCCTGTGTATGTGTGTAGTGGTGGTGGGGGGCACTTGGAATTCAGGTTCTGCCTTTCCTCCATTTATGGGAACGGCAGTCTCTGTAGGATGAGGCCCGTCTCAGCTTCTGGTATCCAGATCCCTTAATAATAAGGGTTCACAGTGCTAGGCACACACACAGAACCTGGCAGGAACGGCAGCGCCTCTGCAGGCACGGTGGAGTCCCCACTCTCCTGACCCCCTCCCTCCTCTCTGGGAATCACAGTGTGCAATTGCTGGGAGAGATGTTTCTTTGAGGTGACTTCCGTGAAAGGCAGGTCCAGAGGTTTTAATGGGAATTATTAAAGAGAGGCCTCTGCCACACCAGGGCATCACCCCTGAGCTGGGCTGCGTGGTGAGTGTGCACAACCCCTCCCAGCAAGGTACCTGCTCACCAGGTGGTAGCAGTGACCCCTGGCATCTGGGCCTCAGCCCTGGCCTAGATTAGGGTCTCTTATGGGGCGGGGAGGAAGAGGAGTCTTTGCAAAGCTTGGGTCCAGGCCTCAGCCCAGGCACTGAACCCACATTTCTAGGATGGGGCTGTGCCAGAAGTTTCTAGAACTCCTCCCATGACTTGCACCCCTAGAGCAGGGGTACAGAATGAAGTGGTGTGGCTGAGGAGTCCCCTCTCCACCCCACTTCCAGCCTAGTCACAGTGCAAGGCCATCTCTAGGCCTGAGTTAAATGGTCATGAAAACCAAGTGTACGCTGGGTAAAAAGAACTGGCTATCCAGACATGGCCTATTCTGTGTTTCCCAAAAGTCCTTCTACAGTTTGCATTTTGCGTAACTTCACTAAGCAAAGTTTAAAAGTTATAGTACAGAACTTCCCATAATGTCAAGAGCTGGACAGAACCTTTTATAAACAGGAGATTTTGTAAGGTTAGGAAAAGTCAACAGGCACAAGCACTCAGTTTCCCAGAACCAGGATGAGGGGTTGCCTGCAATGGTCCAGAACAAGCAGGGCTGGGTTTTTTTTTTTTTTTTTTTTTTTCAGTACTGAGGTTTGAACTCAGGGCCTCACACTTGCCAGGCAGGCACTCTACCACTTGAGTCACACCCCGAGCCCTGTCCAGGTCTGTTTAAACCGTGCAGGCCAGTCCTGCTTGCCCTAAGATCACTTCACACCAGCACTCCTGGAGGAGAGACTGTCTTGGGAGCCATGTGTGGAATCTGGGGAGCATTTGCAGGCTGCAGTGCAACTCTGGGGCCCCATCCAGGCCCTGAGGCAAGCCCAGATCTAGATTCCTATTTCTAGAGCTCAGAGGTCAAGTGAGCCCAGAGAGAACTCTGGGGAAAGACAGAGAAACACTAGCCTTAGCTGCTTCCATCCCTTACTGCTGGCCAGGCTCACTGGATGTTTTTCACCCCTCTGTGTCTTAAGCATGCAAAAGAAACTGAGGCACAGAAGCAAAAGAGTAAGGCCCCCTCATCATCTCATGGGCACAGACGGAAAAAGCCCAACCCAGGAGGTCCTGGAAGGAAGTTGGGATTCCAGCGGCTGCCCCTAAGTCTGTTAGTACTGGATGGGTTGGAACCTCTGCTTGGCTAATTCCTGTGTGACCTGCAGGAATTTACCCCCTCTGTGAGCATCAACTTGCTTGTCACCTTTTAACCCAGCCCTTCATCTGGTGATCTCATGTCACCAGAAACTTCCCTAGGAGGCCTGGTCTTTGTTTGGGACAAAAATCCATCAGAAGGTGAGGCCCTCAGGGCAGAAAGCAGCATAGCAAAGATGGCACTGGTCGGGGCGGTGGTGGGGGGTCTGACTTTGTTGAGTGTGAAGGGGAGACTGCCCTACTGTAGTCACCATGCTGTACTCACAGTGCTGTAGTCACCATACGGTGACCACAGCCCCACCCACAGCCACTCACGACACCACCGTCACTCACGATGACACCGTCACAGCACTGCAGCCACAGCCCTGGCACTTGAGTGGGAGGAGCAGGAAGTCCCCACTCGCCTGGGCCTGGGGTGGAGGCCTGTGCTGCTCAGAGCAGTGGGTGGATTGAGGGGATTCAGCCTCGGGGTGCTGAGGTTCCTTCCCACCTACAGAGGACTCCATGCCAGCAGTGTGGAAGCATGGTGACTGCAGTGTGGAGCCCGAGGCTGCAAAGAAGGAAGGAATTGAGAGGGTTTTTCCAGGAAAAGGATGCCTTTCTTTAGTTCCATCATGGACGGGGCCCACCTACGTGGTGCTGGGGGTTGGATTTTCACTTTGGAAGAATCCTGTCACCACAGCCACAATGGTGGTCACCGGTCCTGTAGATGCCATCGTGAGCCTGACTGGCTGGGAAGTCACTGAGAGTGAAGACGCTAGAGTTTCTCAGACTTTCACATGGAAACAAGCCATGAGTTACAAGCAGCCAAAAGCACCTTTATAATGGCAAAGACTTACCCAAGCGATAGAATTCCCTGTCATCAATCATGGGACAAACAGCCTCATGTCACTGATGCAATGTGCAGGGAAGCACACAGCATTGCTGATGTCAGGTTTCCTGCCAAACATGTCTAGCTTAACTGACCTCATCATGAGGGGACACCAGATAAATGCAAGCTGAAAATGGTCTTGGCTCCTCAGAACTGCCTATGTCATCAAGACAGAGGCAGTGGGACACTGGTCAAAGTAGCCTGAGCGGACCAGCGGCCACTGGACTCCATTCCACCCCCTCAGTAGGAACAAATTCATCATAAGACAGGGTGCCAAACAGGGGGAAGTCAGGAGAGGAAGGAGAAAAAAAGAGACAAAACAGTGTCCATCGTGAGACCCTCTGGCTGATCTGGGAGTCACAGGGTGGGCCAGGATGGGCAGTGTGCAGAGGACTGGTCACCTCTGGTGCCGAGTGCAATTCTAGGGCGGGCTCAGAGTTGGGCTTCACAGAACACCCCAGTCACTGTCCATGCAGCGCTCCACACTGTAGGAAGACCTGTGTAGTCCTGGGAGCATGGGGTGGATGCGGACAAGATCAAGGAGAACAGTAGGAGTGGGAGTGGGCTGTGCCACAGAGGGACCATGGCAGAGCCCCCATAATAGGAACCAGGACTTGGTGGAAGGGAGGGTGCCTGGCCAAGGGCCTCTTTCCACCCCGATGGACCAAGCAAGCCTGACTGTGCAATGCTCCCACAGGCAGTGCATCCTGTCCCTCTGGAGCCCCTCAGGGTTCCCACTGCCCACACAGGCCTTGGCACAGAAGGGGTGTGCAAGAGTTATTGCGGAATGAGTAATGGCACTGGCCCAGAGCTAGGAGGCTGTGGTCAGAGAGGTAAGCTGACCTCTGCAGCTGCCGCCAGGTCAGGGGAAGGGGACAGTGCAGCACACCTGTCTCCACATGGCTCCTCCCCAATTTGCTGGTAGGTCAGGGCCACAGAGATCACTGTCTTAGGTGCCTCCCTGGTTGGACTTTGTGGCTGTCCTGATCACGGGCTGGCATCAACAACAACACAGGCCCCCATCCCAGGAGAAAAACACACATCAAGCCTGTGCAAGAGCAGCAGTGACTCCCACAGGGAATCAGAGGACTTTCAAAAGATAACCAGAGGCAGCGACTTTGCTCAAGGTCACTTTAATATTACACATTTTGACCACAATAAAAATATTTTAAGCCAGGCACCGGTGGCTCAGGCCTGTAATCCTAGCTACTCTGGAGGCAGAGATCAGGAGGATCATGGTTAGTAGTCAGCCCTGGGCAAATAGTTCTCGAGACCCGATCTCGAAAAAGCCAATCACAAAAAAGGGCTGGTGGAGTGACTCAAGTGGTAAGAGAATCTGCAAACCCCAGTGCCGCCCCCCGCCAAAAACCCTTTATTTTAAAAATCACCAAATGATCTAAAAGAAACCCAAACCACAGATCCCGAGTGTCAGGGCCAGGAAGGAAGCCGGAGCTCCATCACTGGCCTCCCGCAGCAGGCGGGGGCTGTCTTCTAGGCTGCCATGGGAAGTCAGATCTAGCAAGGAGCCAGAACAGAGAAAGGCTTCTGCGTCCAGAGTTCGCGAGGCCATGCCCCTGAGCACGGAGGAACTCACGGGTCTGACAGTTCTCACGAGGTTGCTGGCCCCTTTCAGGAACTTGCTGAGGTGTGAGGACCGGCCCTGGGCCCCCTCCTCCCGTCCCTCCTCTTGTCTCCTAGTGGGACTGAAGGATACTGAGTTCCAGGACAGAAAGGCCACCCCCAAGTCCTCAGGAGAGGGACCGGTGCTCAGAGAATCTAAGACCCACGGAATGCATTTGCCACTAAGAGAAATGGCACCTGGACCAGCCTGTCCCAACCTCAGCCCAGAGGGGGGGAGGGGAGCCATCCTCCAGGAATTTGCACTTCCTGATTCCAAGTGGTTCCAGGTGACACAAAACACAGACCCCCCCGTCAGGAAGATTCCTCTCCCTCCCGGGCCACCATTAGCACACAGCTGCCTGTCAGGAGCGCAGAGCCCAGAGGGGCTGAAGCATGGTGGGTGTTTTAGGTTGATGACAGGGAGGAGGAGGAAGTGAGACTAAGCAGGGGCACAGTGAAATCCGGTACCCAGACAACCAGAGGCCATTGAGGGGAGCAGGTCACCAGCCAGCTACCCTTGTCTAGTTCTGCACAGTGCGGGGATCAGGAGAGTCAGCTGGGGAAAGACCACAGAGGACCCCCCAACACCTGAAGGACATGGAGCGCAGAGGCTCTGGGACCCCAAAGGGAAGGCAGTTCCTCAAGGGATACAGAAGGAGGAGCTGAAGCTGGCAGCCGGCTCGTCTGGAGGTGGAGGCTTATCGTGGGCTGAGGGAGCCGAATGTTAATGTTTTCATGGTTTCCTGTTGCGGGATTTTTGGTCCAACGGGCTGTTTTTGAGATGGCGGATGGGAAAAAGTACAAGACTGTATGGAACATTTTCAGTCACTGCTCTGATCTGAATGTCTGTGTCCCCCTCAAAATGCGTATGGTACGAAATCCTCAAAGCCACAGCATCCGGGAGAGGCCTGGCGGGGTGACAGCGCAGAGTCCTCAGGAAGGGGATTTGCATCCTATGGAAGAAGCCACGGAGCCTGTTCCTCCCTCCCAGCATGGGCTCTCGCCAGACCCCACGCTACTGCTGCCACGGTCTTTGTCCTTGTCTGTTCCTGGTTTTAAAATTAGCCAGCAAGTTCTGGGAGCATGGCTCAAGTGGGACGGCGCCTGAGTTCAAGTGTGTAAGCCCTGAGTTCAAATCCCAGTGCTGCCAAAAAAAATTATCTAGCAGAATTGTTTTACAAGTGTGTATGTACACTTCCACATAAAATTATATTTCCACAAATACCTTTTTCATGTCTTTTCATAAGAGACAGCACGTACAGTTTGTCCTTAATCGTATAAAGTTATTTCCGGCCGTCATTCTGGCTCGTTCGCTTAGGATGAACTCTAATTCGGATTTTTTCCCGCTTTTCAAAGCAAGCTTCACAGTTGCTGTGTTTGTCAGCCTGCGCCCTCACTCAGACATTCTCGGCTTCTTCGTTATTTCCCATTTAATGATGTGGTATTTACGGGCTTCATGACGTTCTATCCATTTGAAAGTCAGCTAAAAGGTACCAGGCCATGTGCTGGTGGTGCCTGCTAGTCTCTCCTCCCACCCCAGGCCCCACTGGGAGTCTCGGTTCTCCTCCCCTGCCCTTTCCGCTTTACAATTTTAGTAGGTTTCACTATTCTGGATTCATACATGTGCGTGAAGTACTTCACATTCATCCCCATCACCCTCTCCCTGGTTCTGTCCCCTCCCACTGTCCCCACCCTCAACAGTCCCCCTTTTACACTCATGTCCATTTTTCTAGGTCTAGATTCCATATATGAGAGAAAACACGTGTCTGTCTTTCCTGGCGTGGCTCACTCTGTTCACCATGGTGTCTTGTGTGATGCTGTCTTCCTCACCCGGTCTCCCACACAGGTCTTGGGTCACGCTGAGTCCTCCCACCAGTATTCATCATGGCACATGTGGCTTTGTCCCCCTCCCTCCTCCCTTCCCCCTGCTGTGTTTCCCACCCAGCCTGTGAGTTCCCTGTCTCCATGTGCCCTTCCTGCTCACTGCTGTGCCCTAGACCCAGGATGACTCTGGCAGGGAGAGAAGCCCACTTGTACACAGCCAGGCAATGAGGGGAGCCTGGAGCTGCCTGTGCTCCCTTCCGTCACCTGGCTTTGCTGTCAGCTACCTGGATGGTCTCCTGTCTTCATCCCAGGGTTGGGGGTCCACCCACTAGGTCTCCCTGGTGTCTCCTGAGGCCCCTCTGCCTTTTGCTCCTGCTTTGGCTGACGTGGAGTGTGCAGGAGAGACTGCATATTGACCACACATCTCCTGTTCAACCTGAAGACATCTCAGGTTGGCAGGTCACTCAGCCGGGCCCTCTGTGTGTTCTGAGAACCTGCTGAGCAGAGTACCTCCCCAGGGCCCTGGACTTTGCTGTTTGCAGACCTTGTCCTGCCTGGCTGGATAGGCTCTGGGTCAGCATGGCCGGCTGTGTCCCCCTGCTCTGGAGCCTCATCTTCATCCTTGTCCTCCACCAGGCGGAGGTGTCAGGTAGGCATCTGGTCTTTCCATCTATCACCTTGTCCTTTCTAATGCAGCCCACAGTGGATTTGCAGATGACATTCTTTCTAGGAGCCCCAAGGGACCAGACCTGTCCTCATTGTCCCTCCTGAAATGCTGTGCTGGACTTCGCTCTCATGTGGTAGCAGTATGTTAAAAACAGTGGTGTGGCCTTGGGTCCTCCAAACGATATACTGAGACACAGGAGGCATGCAGGAGATGTAGGGGGAAGGGGGACGTCACGAGGGACAGGGTGGGGGGACAAGCCGAGGCAGGGCCTGGAGACAGACTGCTGCCTGAGGAAGCAGAGGGGCACAGAGGGGCAGCGAGGGTCACACAGGTATGTGGCAGAGAGTCCTGACCCAGTAGCATGGGGAAGCAGCCTCTCCTGACACCACCAGCTGGCTGCCCTCCTAGCAGGGCTGCCGACAAGGCACCCAAAGTCCTGCAGCGGGTGGGTGACAGCCAGGTGAGGCTTATACCCTGGTCCCACACCCCCAAATAATTACAGCAGTGGGAATTTCAGCCCAGACTCAACACCTGAGAGAAACAAGTTGTCTGCTTTGATGACAGCTGAAGGAACGGAGTCACTGCTGGCTCAGGGTACAAAAGTCTCTGAGGCCACTTGAGGGAGTTAACTGGTGTGACTTTCTCCTCTCGGGAAGCTGTGTGTGTTTTAGGTGTCTTCACTTCCTGTTTTATCAAGATTTTAAAGACCACTGGCAGCTGCTCACCACCCAGGCGCTGTGTCTCCAGCTCTGTGCACCTCATTTCTTCACCTCTGACCCAATGCACACCAAGCCCCACCAAGCACCCCCTCTTCTGCTGCTCTCAGGTTCCAGAATGGCAGCTTTATCCAGATCTGGAGCCTGGCTCCAGCCAGACAGTGGGCTCTTCCTGCAGCCCCAGTCGGCCTCCAGTCCCTGGACTCAGCTTGTGCAGCCCACAACTCCTGCCCTGTGGTGTCTGAGGAACCCTGAGCCTCAGGATGGGCGAGAGCGTGCAAAGGCGCTGAGATATGCCAGACTTCAGAGCTTGGTACAAAAAATAAGGATGCAAGCAGTTTTTAAACAGTTACACGGGGAAATGGTAAAAGCTTGCATTTATTAGATTGAATATTATTAAAATTAATTTCACCTGTTTTATTGGATGTTTTTAAATGTGGTTACTGGAAATTGTTACAAGATCCAGGGGCTCACACCTCATCTCTCTTGGACAGTGAGCGCTATCCACAAGGCCACATCTCCCGAACGGCCCATGTCCCACCTACTCTGTCCTCCACACAGTAAACAGGACAAGTTGCACACAGCAAGCTAGCCGCATCCCTCTTCTGGTTAAAACCTTTAGAAAAATTGAAAACCATTGTCGTGGTGTGGCTGCAAAGGTCAGTCAGGCTTGTCTGGGTGACAGAGGCCCCCAGGTGACATCATTGCAGAGACAACACCTGCAGCAGCCTGGAATGTGTTTCTTCGGACAGTGGGCCAGAGGTCCGGAAACCCCCCAGATAAAAACTGAGCATGGGTTAAGTGTTTTCTATTGTTCTCAACATACATATCCCTGGCTGACACCAGGATAAGAAATCAACAGAGGCCAAAGGAGGAAGGGCAGGAAGAGAACTCCAGTGTCTCTGCCTGCAGGTCCCTGGAGCCTGGCACCTTGGGACAAGTCACAGAAGATGGCTCCCTGGCCTGCCAGGGGGATCTGCAGGGAGGTAGGCTATGCGGAGTCCCATCTAGAGGTGGGCACCTCTGACATTCTCTCCTGAGAGTCAGAGGCAATGGCTCCAGCCACGTGAAGCCCTTTCTGCTTCACTCTCCCAGGCTCTGGAAAACCTGACAACTTAGCAGTGAGTCTGCTTGGACAGGAAGTGCTGACTCTGAGGGCGGGAAGACCACTGTCATCTTGGCCTCAGAGAATTCCAGCCTGTGATAACTGCAAAAGAAAATGGGCAAGAGAGCCAAAATCTCCAACCCCTCAGGACATCAGATGAGCATCAGCCAGAGCTGGCAGAAAACAGCAGGAGTAGACACAGAACATAAGATAAACGTTCATTACGGTTCAGGAAATGTGATAAAAACAGGAAAAGAAATCAGAGACATGAAAACGCTCATACACATGTGAGAAAGAAAGAAGGACTGAAATGGGGAAACTTTAACTTTAGAATCAAACAAAAAAAGGAAGAAGCAAACGTTCTCCTTTACCACAAAACACCAATTGAAAACATAAAGGATCGAGTTAAAACTCACTGTTCTGCAGCCAGGCACTGGTAGCTCACACCTGTAACCCCAGCTACTTGGAAGGATGAGGTCAAGAGGACCAAGGTTTGAAGCCAGACCAGGCAAATAATTTGTGAGACCCCGTCCCCAAAATTACCAGAGCAAAATGGACTGGAGGTGTGGCTCAAGTAGTAAAGCACCTGTTTTACAAGTGTGAAGCCTGAGTTCAAACTCCAGTCCCGCCAAAATAATAATAATAATAATAATAATAATAATAATAATAACTGTTCTTCAGTTCCACGGGTGATAACTGGTTCAGGTGAAATCATCCACAGAGGCTGAAACCATTTGGTGAAAGGCCCTTTGGGTGCCACATCCCAAAGCACCTCCCTCCACCGGAAGCCTATGGCCACTGTCTACCCAGTCGCTTAGCATGGGACCTTATTTGGAAATAGGGTCTTGCATATGTCATTAGCCAAGACGAGGTCATCCATCCTCCTCCAAGGACGAGCCCTGGACCCAGTGACCGGTGTCCTTACAAGGCAGCCGGTTGACAGAGATGCTGGAGGTCGTGTGAAGGCGGAGGCAGCTGTTGGAGTACTGTGGCCACAAGACCAGCCTAGAGTGCTTCGAAGCTGGAGGAAGCAAAGAACCCTCCCACAACCTGATTCTGAACCTGAGGACTTCCCAGAGACCCAGGAATCGATCCTGCTGCCCAAGGCCACGCCGTGTGTGCTCCCCTCAGAGCATCTAAGGAGCGGCCACCATCGTAATAAGCAGTCTGTGGAAGTAATGACGTCAGGAGGCCGTGGAAGTGATGCTCCGAGGACACCCATCTGTGGAATTTACACTGAGAACGAGCAACCCATGTCTGGTGCCAAGTCTAGGTGAAGGCACATTGGGCTTCATTGGGCCATAGGGGCGACTTCTCTCCAGGTTGGGCAATTTATAGCCAAAAAGGGAGGGGTAACAGGTATTGGGGAAAACTATTTCTTTTTCACATAAAAACATGAAGCTGCATGTGTCAGGAACTGCGAGTCACACACCAGATGCTCAATTCTTCTGGAGGGGGCCTCTTCTTCAGATTCCAGAATTATGCTTAGAGCTCCAGCCAGGCAGCAGAACGGAGGGAGGGGCAAAGGGAAAGGGGCCGAGGGCTGCACCAGGTGTTTTCGAGAAGGCTTCCCTTCTACTTGTTTTTCCCAGCCAGTGCCTAGGCACACAGCACCCTCAGCCCCACTGGTGTCTGGAAAGTGGTCTTCATTCGGGACAGCTATGTGTCCGTCAGAAACCAGGGGTTCTTGTGTTCCAAAGGACTGCCATGGGGACAGCTGACCAGAGCTGCATTTCACATTCTCATCTCCATCCACAGGGCATCCAAGGCCACTCAGGCGCTCCCTGCCACCCTCTGGCTGGGCAGGCACCCCTTCTAGGAGTCTCTGCACATCTGCTCTCCTTTCCCCTCCCTGACCCTTCAGCCAGTCGTGCCCCGGCCTCCAGGGTCCTTGCTCTCTCCGACTCTCCTTTATGGTGGCACCCTGCACTTCTCACCATCAGTCGTCGTTTCTGTGCCTAGTTCCCCAGCACTGACTCCCTGTGAGGGTGGCATAGGCTGTGTTTGGTTCTCTGTCAAGTCCCAGTGGAAGGGGCTCAGTAAATCCCTGCTGCAGAGTCCAGCCATCTCTAAACTCATGTCCTTCACCACCCCCATGCCTGTGATCACAGCCAAATGGGGCTGCTCACCACTTTGCGACCATGGTGGCAGACTCAGACCCATCCCTGCAGACCCATCCTCAGCCTCCACAGTGGCCTCATGCTGGATGCACCCGTCTAGTGGGACAGGTTTCCAAGCCCTGTGGCAGCATCGCTGTTTGGGGGCAGCGCAGCCTCTCCTGCCATGTGCAGACTCCCAGGACTGTCCCTGGCAGGCCTCTGCCCAGGTGCTCAGCGAGTGGCAGTACAGGTAGAAGGAGCCAGGCCCAGTGCTGTCCTGTGGAGAACCACACTGCAGGGTCCCCCGGCCTGCTGATGAGCAAAGGGAAGGGCAGTGTCTGAGCCGTTGTCTGTACGGGTCTACTTATTGCACCTTCGCCTCTGACACAAACCCTTCCAGAGTCTCCCCTCCCTTCTTTAGTCATGTTTCTTTCCTTCTGCAGGAAAGCAGTTCCATCCCTAAACCAGCAAAACAGGTGATGCTCACTTGTGGGTGCCTGTCTGCCTCTACCCCTCCCTTCACAGAAATCCTCCCAAAGCCTGCTTGGCTCACAGGTCTGTCTGGACTTCCTGTTTCTGCAACAGCAGGACAGACACAGTTTAAGCCAGTGCCGAGGGGAGTGGCCTGGACTCAGACTTTTGTCCCAACGCTCACCAGCTGCAGGTGACTGAGCCTCTCTGGGCTCTGGCTCAGCAGAATGTCAGTGTGTCTGCCGACAATCCCCAGGTCTGTCCATCTGCTTCCCAAAGAGGACATGAACACCTAGCCAGGGAAGTGAACTGCTGGCCCTGAGGACAGAGGGCCCAGCCCAGCCCTCGAGATGGGGGTCAAGACACATCAGAGGCCCTGATGCCTGGGGAGATCCTCAGGGTCACACCTCTACCGTCCTATCCCCTCCCCAGTGTTTCTTTCAGCCTCTAGAGCAAACTCGGCTCTGGGGAGATGGAAGCGCGCTGGCTCCTACCTCCTGGAAGAGATCTTTCAGGGGAACTTGGAGAGGGAATGCTATGAAGAAATCTGCATTTATGAAGAAGCAAGAGAAGTGTTTGAAAATGGTGCGCTCACAGTACGTATGCCCAGCTGCACTCACCTCCTGACTGACTGACCGCTGCCCGGCGCACCCCACACTGGGCAGGTGTCCTGGGCCTGCAGGAGCCTGACTTCACACACAGGAACCAGACATAGGGAAGTGAGGAGACCCAGTCCTGGCCCAGCCTCAGGAGGGGACCCTGCTCAGGGAGACCTGCCCAACCCACCTGTGTCAGGACTGATGGGTTTAAGTTCCCATTGCTTCAATATGACAAAAAAGATGGAAATACAAAAATCTTCCAGCTACACAGTAAGAAAATGTCTCATAGTCTTTTTTTTTTTTTTTTAACTCAGGGCTTCTCACTTGCAAAGCAGGTGCTTTACTGCTTGAGCCACACCTCCAGTCCATTTCGCTCTGGTTATTTTGGAAACAGGGTTTTGTGAACTGTTTACCCAGGCGGCCTCGAACCTCAATTCTCTTGATCTCAGTAGCTAGAATTACAGGTGTGAGCCACCTGTAATTAATTCAAAGTTAGTATTTTTGAGTTCTTTCTTTTTTTTGTGAGACTGGGGTTTGAATTCAGGGCTTCAGCACTTGGAAAGCAGACATTCTACTACTTGAGCCACACCTCCAGCCCTTCATAATTTTTACTTTGGATTAAATGTTTTCTCATTCACACCCTAATACAGGTAAGAGTTTTCCATTTTTGCCAGGCAGGGTGGTTCACACCCGTAATCCTAGCTACTTGGGAGGCTGAGATCAGAAGAATCACAGTTCAAGGCCAGCCGCAGCAAATAGTTCTCAAAACCCCATTTCCAAAATAACCAGAGCAAAATGGACTGGAGGCGTGGCTCAAGTGGTAGAGTGCCTGTTTTGTAAGTGTGAAGTCCTGAATTCAAATCCTAGTCCCATCAAAAAACATTTGACATTTGTAATTACTCAAGCTTATCAGAAGACAGAGGCAGTCAAAACCTGGGGGATACAGAATATTTTGTACAAATAAATACAGGAGCAAAGGTTTTATTAAAGATTTCCCCATGCTGCTGTGTATTCAGAGGTACAGCACTCGCTTAGCTTGTGTGAGGTCCTGGGTTTCATCCCCAGCACAGCAAAAAAAGAAAAGTCTCCTAGTTCTATGTGACAAGGTAGCAATATTTAAAGTTGGTTCTGAATAAAATGTTGAACTGCTCCTTTAGTATATTTTAAAATAACTTTCAAATGATAACTTCTTAAATGCTCGAATGTGAGACACCTCTTCTGGAACAGACCATTCGTAACACATTTAAGAAAACTCTTTTTTTTGCTGTTGGCGCTGGAACTTGAACTCCGGGCCCTGTGCTTGCTGGGCAGCGCTCTACCACTTGGGCAGTGCCTCCAGCCCTTTGACAGGGTCTGGCATTTTTGCCTCCAACCAGCCTCGGGCTGTGATCCTTGTACTTGCACTGAGTGAAAAGAGTGAATATTCTGAAGTATCTTATCCTCAATTTCAGTTTTCCTACTTGAGGTACTGGGGAAGCAAGCCCAGGGTCTTATACGTACCAGGCAAGCACTCTCCCACTAAGCCACAGCCCCAGCTCCTACATTTCAGTTTCACACTTCCTGGGAAAGGGAAGATTGGTACGCGCCAATCCCTCCTGACATCATGGGGCCACGCGGTGTCTCATTTCTTTCCAGGCTTTCGGTCTTGGGTAACTCTCCTCCTTTTGGTACCCCCACCTCAGACTAGCCTCCCCCAGACATCCTCCCACACCTTCAAAACTGTAACCGGCTTATAAACAAGAAAGGGAGGTATGAGTTTGGGACATGTGCCACGTGCTTCTGTAGAGGGATGTGGGAGGAGACCCCGGGCATCGGGAGGCTGTGGCAGGGGGTTTGTGCCTCTGCCACACACCACCCCCCTCCTCCTGAGGCGTGGTGGATACATGTGGACTCAGACGTGTTACGTAGGTGTTTAGTAAGTTCAGTACCAATAAACAGACATAAAGAATTTCACGTCTTTGCTTCCACCAACACTCTCCTATTGGGTGAATAAAGTCCACATCTTCTTGCCTTCAAGTCTGTCTACGGGAGGGGAGGGGATGCAGACAAGTGAAGGCTCCTTCGTAATGCTTTTGTTTCCCCTTCACAGGATGGATTCTGGAGACAGTATGGAGGTAAGTGGTTCCCATCTCTCTTCTGCATCCTAAGATGAGGCTGTGGACTTGCATTCCAAGCCTCTGGCTCCTGGGACCAGCGTTTGGCCTTCCCTGCGACAAGTGTCGCAAAGCCCCCATAGTCTGCCAGCAGGACCTTGCCCAATGTCTGAGGGCTCAGGCAGCAGGTGAAGGGTCCCCACCAGACCAGCTCCTCCCATCCCTAGCTTGGACTCCAGGAAGTCTCAGACTTTGGATACCTTTGATCCAGACCCAGATGAGTCTGGCATGGGGACTACAGGCAGACGTTCCTCATGAGGTGGAGGCACAGGGTGGTGATAGCAGAGACAGATGTGAAGATGAGGCCAGAGCAAGGACCCATCCTTGAAATGAGTAGGGGAGAGCTACTCATTTCTGCAGCCACCGTCATACAGGCATGGGGACACAGACGAAGGAGAGAGAAGTTTGCTGAGAGAGGCCTCATATGTGGGGTACATGATGGAGAAGGTGAGGGATGAGGGGAGGTAGGGGACATGGCACCCAGTGGGGCAAGAGGCACCCAGCAGCTGGCCTCCTTTACGCTGAACGGAGGTGGCATGGCGCAGACTCAAAGGCCCCTCCTCCTCCCACAGGTGGCTCTCCATGCATCTCCCAGCCCTGCCTCAACAATGGGACATGCCAGGACCACATTCGCACCTACACCTGCACCTGCTCCCCTGGCTACGAGGGCAGGAACTGCGCGATGGGTGAGGCCCCATCCACCCCCAACCTCTGCCCTGCCTGGCAAATGACCTCTACCGCCCAGCCAGACTCCCAGTGGAGGGAAGCTGTGCACTCGATCTGCTCACCCCAGGGGAACCCTCCTGTTCCACAGCTTCTCCCTAGAAGCCATACCCCAAGTGCTGGCTCCATTTGATGACCTGCCCTCATGCTCCAAAAGGGCTCCCGGATTTTTCATGGCATAGGGCCCCCTCCTCCCTTGCTCCCTAACCCAGCCCCCTAACCCTTGCATACTTTGCTCACCAGCTGGGGACACACACTGATGTGTCCAGTTGGCATGCCACTGGGGGACACTTCAGAAAGGGAGAGTCAAAGTCTTTAAACAAATGCCCTCCTGGGGTTGAGGGAACCAATGCCTGTGAAAAATTATCAGCTACAGAAACAAATGCACTTAATCCCTTCACTGTATCCAGACAGCTAGAGTCAGATTTTCCGGGGAGAATATTACTTACCACCCAGAAATCTCTCCCAAGTCCAGGTTTTAACTCCGTCTGCCTCCTTAGCAGCTCCAGGTCATGCTTCATGGACATCTCCAGTTGACCCTGTGCCATGGGGGTTCCCATCTTGTCGCTCTTGGTGGAAAGTTCCCCACCTCAGATGCTCTACCCCCATCTCAACCCTTGCTAAGTCCCCTATCTTTCCATCTCACTCTTCTCAACCAAGCCATTTACAGAAGCAGCCATTGCGGTGGGAAAGAAAGCCAGCTAAGAGACAGACACACATGCAATACAGACGGAGAGACACCAGGACCAAGCCTCCTGAGGACAAACCCAAGTGTCACCCTGGCCTGGCCATGTCCTGTTTCCATGTGAAGCTTTACATGATGAGTCAACAACAGTCCAAGGAGAATGACTCGCTGCAAGGAGATGGCACGACTACTTCCACCTTGGAACTTCTGGTTTTACCCTTTTCTTCTCTTTCAGCTACAAATGAATGTCACCCAGAGAGGACAGATGGGTGCCAGCACTTCTGCCACCCAGGGCAGGCCTCCTATATGTGCAGCTGTGCGAAGGGTTACAAGCTGGGTCCAGACCACAAGTCGTGCATTCCAAACGGTGAGTTCTCAGGTGGGACGGCAGCCGTGCCCTCCACTATCCACATCCTCCCTCTGATGGTTAGGGGTTCTTGCTACGGTGGGAATCACCGGCTCAGGCTGCTGGCCTCCGTGCTAGAGCACAACGGTGCCAGGAGCTCCCTCTGTCAGGAGGCTCCGCACCATTCTATCACTTGGGCTACCCGGTGAGGTGCACTCTGCCTGTGCATCGATTATCTCAAGTTTGTCAGCATTCAGATGAGAGTTAATGGCTAGCACTGTGTGCACGGAGGACTGATTTTCTTCTCGTGTTGTCACCACAACTGAAGAGAGGTGTGCATGTGGTGCCCTGACATCTGGAGACATCACAACCCCAGAGGGAAGCCCGTGGAATCCCCCCAGCTTCCTGTGGCAGGTAACAAGCACTGTACAAAAGTCCTTGCTTGTCACTTCCACGTTCTTGCCAAATAGAGAGGTGATGACTAGGGGCTGGGTGTGGCTCAGAGGCACAGCTCCTGCCTAGCAAGCCCAAAGCTGGGTCTGCAAATAATGAGAGGGAGAGGGAGGGAGGGAGGGACAGAGGAAGGGGGGGAGCGAGAGAGAGAGAAAAGAAAGAGACTAAGAGACTTGGCCATGGTGACTCAGGTGAGCTCTTTACTGATCTCCACTCACATCAACGCTTTCTCATGCTGAAGCTACAGCCTTGGCTGCCGGCATCATTTGCTCCACGTGGAGTTCTCAGGATGTAAGCACTGTCCAGCCTGCAGAGGCGCCCCTGACTCCGGGAGGCAGAAGAGCCCATGGTTTCACACAACCCCTTGCTCCACTCCTGGCTGGAGTCTCAGTTCCATTGTTTTACTGCTTTCTTTGCAGTCCTCCTTATCCTTTTCCTTTCCCCTTTGACAAAGTAAGGTTAAATGTTCTGTTTCCGTATACTTACCTGTTACTCTTGGTAGAAAAGCTTCAAACCCGAGCCTGGCAACTTGCAGTGTTTCTCCTCCCCGCAGATGACTCCACACACATGCTGGGGCTCACCTGCTACTCTGGACAGTAATTTATTCTTTCCTTGCTTTATTTATTATTCTATCAATAGGGCTTTATACCTCCCACACTAGTTTTGATTTCCTTGCATTTCCCTCTTGCTTGCCTCTTAGCCCTATTTAAGGCAGACTCTTCCCTTCTGCCTCAGCATCTCCCTTAGAAAGGCCTTGTCCGGTAGGAATGTAACGTAAGCAATTTAAAATCTTCCACTAACTACACTAATACCAGAAAAGCAGGTAAAGTTAATTTTGATCATCTGCTTTAACACAATAGAAACATTATTTCCATGTGAAATGAATATAAAAATTATTGCTGCTTTTATTCAGCCGACCTCCATCACTGCGGCAGTGGGTGGAGAGCTGGAAGGGAAAACAGCAGAGACCTGGGCCAGGCTAGGCTGGAAATGCGGACTGAAGGAAAGGAGTGGACAGAGCGATGGGATGGGAGGGACAAAGCTGGATGGCCTTGTTAATCAGCTTTTAGTGACCTCTTGCTCTCACTGCTGTTACTCCAGAAGCTTCTAGAAACCCTTGTTCACACCCCACTCTCTTATCACTGTCTGCCCCACTGGTGTGCCAGGCTGAGCCTTGGATCTTGTTGGGCAAGGTGGTGACAGTGGCCTAGTTCTGCCAATACATGTTGTCTTCAGTTTCCTAAGGCACGCTGGGAGCATGAGGACTTATGTGGCCAGGTGGTGACCATCCTCAAACTCAAGCGTGCTCAGAAACAAGCTGATCCAGGCAAGATAAATACTGTTGATTTTCACTATGGTATGAGAAATAGGCCTGAACTTATCTAACTGAATATATGGAGTTTTTCTAAAACAGACTGGAAAAGAGATTACCACACCTAGCAAAATACAGAGCTGAAAATTATCTTTAAGAACCTAGTTGTTTCTTACATTCCAGGTAAGAATCGACACTGCCTTCCGCCGTTTTACTGGGGCCCAACAGGCTAATGTACAGGTCATTCTTCCATCCAGCTACAGGGAGGACAGCACTGTCCCCAGGGCGGCAAGCCTGAAGTCAGTGTACTTCCTGAGGCAGGTCTTCAATAAACACACAAAGTCTCCAGAAGGCAGGCCACAGTACCTCTGAGAAGCTCTTTCATGCACTTTCCGTTTTATGAGGCCAGTCGTGTACACCATGTGTGCATGTGTCATTTCACTTAACCCTCACACTAACCTCTCTCTCCTCCTTTTCATGTCCCTGGCTCTGTGATCTCTGTCTGGTACTGGCTAGACATGGTAGCTTCCTGTTGATCAGTGTTGGCCTGGTATTTCTTTTCCCCATCTTCTACTTTTCACCTATTGTATTTTTGTATTTAAAGGGCATGCAGTTAGTTGGGTATTGTTTCTATCTGATCCAAGAATATATGGCTGCCTTGTAATGGGATATCTACACCATTTTGCCTTTGCTGCTGTCAACAGGGTCTGGGTTTGGTCTATCGCCTTCCTTTTTGCATTCTATTTTCTCCACTGCTCTTCTCCTTGTCTTCCTTTCCTGCCTCAATTGGACCATGTGCTTCTTAGGACTTCATCACGTCTCCTTTGCTGGCTCTTCAGCTCTAACTCATCCTTTTGTTCAGGGCACAGCCCATCTCTTCCCTCCTGGCCTTGCTGTTGCTTCTGTCCCACGTCTCACATCTATAGGTGGCTGCAGTGCTGCACTGTAGTTGTACTTTTGATTAGACAGCATCCTGTAAAGAAGTTTAAATCACAAGGAAGAAAACTTGCAGGTGTGCTGGGGCAGACGTCTGGCAGACGTGGTACCACCTTCTTGCCTGTGTTAGAGGGTTTCTGGGAAGACAACTTTGGCTCTGTTGACCTCAGGAGTCTTTATTTCACCTTTCTCTTTGAAAGATGTTGTTCTCCTGACAGCACTGCATTGTCTCTGGGCTAACCTGGCTTCTGCAGATATGTCATCACCTTTCCCTGTGGCCCTCTTGCCGTGTCCTTTCCCCATGGCTGCATTTAAGACCCTCTTTGTCACTGGCCATGAGCAATTTGGGTACTGCTGTTGCTCCCTTGTATTTTTTATGCTTGGGGATTGTTGAGAATCTCAGACCTATGGATTACACAGACTGGATGTCTCTTGCTTGGGAGATTTCAGATTTTGAAGATCTTTATGTGGGCTTCATCCACCAATCTGAAATGCTTCAAAATCCAAAATCTGAGTGTCACAGTCGAGCTCAAAAAGTTCTGAATTTTGGAGCATTTCAGATTGCAGATTTTTTGGATTGGGGTGCTCAACTTGTAGTTTAGTCAAATTTGGAAAAATTATGGGCACCATTTTTTCAATATTTTCTGTCATCTCCCTCTCCTCTAATGTAGATGTATCTTGAGCTGTCTAGCGTCCCCCAGCTCAGTGATGGTCCATTCACTTTAAAAATATCTCTATTCTCAAGTGATTTTATTCTGGGCCATTTCTGTTGCTATCTTCAAGGTCACTAATCTTTTCTTTTGCAGCTTCTAATCTGCCATTAATTCCATGACTCACATATTGCAGCAATCATCTAAATTGAAGTTGGATCTTTTTTGTCTCTACTTAACTTTTTTGTCTGTTTGAAATAGTGACAATTGCTGCTCCATGGTCCTTGTCTGCTCACATCTGTTGTCTGCTCACATCTGTTAGTAGCTCTCAGTCAATTTTGGTTGGCTTTTCTTCTCAGAATGGGCAGTTTTTGTTTGTGTGCCTGGTGATCTTTAATGGATTGCAGACAAGCCGTGCCTCATCAGGTAACAGTTTTGTGCTTTGTAAATATATCTGAATGTTGTTCTGGGACATGGTTAAAACACATGGGAACAGCTTGATCTGTTGGCATAGTGCTTTTAGGATTTGTTAGGTAGGACTAGAGTAGCTGGAGGGTCAATTATTCCTACCACAGCAGTAAGACCCTGCTATATGCTCTACCCAGCGTCTGTTGGACCCGCCACTGGCTGGCAGGACACCCTATTGCCAGCCCTTGTGAACTCCCAGCACCATTCCCTCCAGCTCTTTAGGGAATTCTTCCGTCTTCAGTGGCTTCTTTCCATACACAGGTGTGCTATCCTGACTGCTGACACCTAGGGGACCTGTAGCTCCTCAGTCCTGTCCTCTGCAGGACTGTCCTGTGACTCTAGCGCTTTGTTTTCTGTGGCTTCTAGCTCTCTCTCCAGCTCAGGGAGCCCAGCAGTTCTTCCCAAGTCACCCATTCAAGAGACCAGTCCTCTGTAACTTCTTTCCTTTTGCATTGCTCTACGGGAGGGAAAATCTGATCACCGTCACTCTGCCTGGGCTAGAAGGGACCCATTTATACCCAAGCAAAGGAAAGCACGGCTTTCCAGTGACCCGTCAGATCTCAGTGGCCATGTAAGTGGTGGGAAGGGTATGGAAACTGGCTGCTTAGTAGTCCAGAACCCTAGCCAGTAAGCTTTACTGCCCCCTAATCCTGCAAGATGTCACTGCCTATTGTCTGTTTTGTTTGCTGAAGGTCAAGTTAACAAATTCCAAAGGGAAAGACTTCTGTGGTGGTGTTCTAATACAGGAAGATTTTGTATTGACAACAGCAAGATGTTCACTAAGACACAGAAATATTAGTGTGAAAGTAGGTAAGTATCTTTTCATGGATTTTGTAAGATGGCACTGGAAATAAAACAATATGTAGGAATGACTGGAAATTTAACTGTCTGACACAGCAGTGGGGCAGTCAGAAGAGTTGGGTTCAAATCCCTCCACTGGGTCACCTCAGCCTCATCTCTAGTTTTGCTGTGCCTGATTCTCCAGCTGTAAAAACCAAGCAATCATTTCTCTCCTGCAGTTTACATGGTAACCTGCCAACATGTCCTATAATGAATCTAAAGATCCCTAAAATAAATGCATTTTCTCTCTATTCTTAAATACTTTTGAATCAACAAAATAACCCATAAGCAGAGTTTTTGAGCAGCCTGGAGAGTTCCCTTCACTGATGCCTAATCTCTGACCATTTCTCAAAACCCCACTGTATTCCAAAATAAGACAGCTGATTCTAACCTTAAGAAGAGTTGACACAGCTTGTGCTCCAATCTGCCTTTACTCCCAGGCCAACACTGATGGAGACAGGCAATTTGCCCAGCCAGTCCTGGGGTGCAGCCTCTGCCTTGTCATGGGCCTCAATGAGAAACTAGTCTGTTACCTAACTCCAGAAATCAGCCTTCCTTTAAAACTTTGCCATGATTGCTCATGATTTCAGGGTCTGACAGGAGCGAGGACGCAGTGAGCATCAGGATCAAGAGCACTCATGTGCACATGCGGTACGAGGAGGAGTCAGGGCAGAATGACATCTCGCTGCTGGAGCTGGAGAGGCCAGTGCAGTGTCCCAGCGTGGGGCTCCCCATCTGCATCCCCGAGAGGGACTTCGCTGAGCGTGTCCTCATTCCAGGGACAAAGGGCCTCCTCAGTGGCTGGACGCTCAATGACACAGACCTGGGTGCCATGCCAACAAGGCTGCCAGTCACAACTGTGGATGGGGAGGAATGTGGACAGGCCCTGAATGTGACCGTCACGACAAGGATGTGCTGTGAGAGGGGCAGGACAGGGGCAGGGCAGTGGGTCGAAGGAAGTGTGGTCACCAGAGAACACAAGGGCACCTGGTTCCTCACAGGGATTCTGGGGTTACCATCAAGAGAAGAACAAGGAAATATGTTCCTTCTCACCACAGTCCCAAGATACTCACTCTGGTTTAAACAGATAATGAAGTAACTAAGACTCAATACGCCAGAAAGGACAAAATATGCAGTGAGATTCCAAATTTTAGCAGCAATCATAGGAAGAAACTGAAATTCTGTGACAAAAGTGGTTGTAAGACTGTCAGAGCCAACCAACTACCAGCTTACTAGGTCATTGCTGGATGCTGACATTTTTTTCCTTGGAACTTTTTAGCTAAATGGAAAACTTGAGAAAAAATGAGATCTATCAAATAAAATAAATCTGTCAGTCACAAACGAGTCCAGTTTCTGAAAACTGTTTCTTCTTCCAAGCCTCTGCTAAATGGAGAAAGGGTATGAACTAGCTCGGTCTGATACATAGCTATGGTCAGTGCAGCCCTGGCATGGAAAATCCTCAGAATGGTGCTACAGACAGAAAGTGACCTCCTCGGTTCACTGCAAGTGGAATTGTTGCTGTGCACTGGAAGAAGCAGCTGGATGGGGTATGGACAGGGAATACTGTAGAGAGGCATGTTTGGGAAAAGGTCAGGAGGCACACGGATGAGAAGTCAGAAAATGTGGGGCCTTCCAACAGGGCTGTACCAAGAAGCACTTTGGATGCTGGAGGCCTGACCGACAGGTTCCAGGGAACCATGGGGTCAGGCCTGGCAGTGGAGCTTCTCAACTCTGCCACTTAAGCTGGTAACACTTGAATGATTACTTAACCTCCTTGTGCCTCAGTGTTTTCATCTCTAAAAGGAATAATAGGAATGTGGCTACAACATTTAAAAAGGGCCAAACCAATCCAGACACAGCAGCACAGAGCTGCAATCCAATACTCCGGAGGTCGAGGTGGGAGGATTGTGAATTGGAAGCAAGCCTGGGCTATGACAGTTGAGAACCTGTCTCAAGATCAAAATAAAAATATCAAATAAACTAGCCTACAATCACGTCTGATTATTTGATGTCAATGCAAGCCAGCTGCAATGATACATCCTCTGTGGGTGCCCAGACATGAACCAAGCTGTGCACGAGGCCTTGTGCACAGAGTCCAAACACAAGGGTACTAGGCACTAAGGCTGTTTCTTTCACTGACAGGCATGATCATACATTACCTTACACTATCAATCCTTAACTGTGAGTGTCACTGTTTACTGTTCAAGAAACAACCTGGAGACATCCATAAACCTTAACCCTTGTTGTTATTAACCCAGAAGAATGCAATTCAGAAGTGCTCACAAGAATTCCAACAAATCACTATACCTCATCATTTTTATCAGAAGATGCTTAAGGCTCCTGCCGGGCAGTGGGAAAACAGGATTTCCAAGTAGCTCTGCAGCACAGTGCCCATGGATATGCACAGCAGAGGAGACAGGAGCACAGCAGTTAGCCCTGGAGGGGCTCAGTAGCAAGGTCCTCCCCGCTCTGCCCTGCCAAGACTGACTTCACTGCCAGACTGCATGAAACCACAGCACACGCTCCACTCTGCAGCTCAGTGAGAAACTGGATGCCATCAGGATACAAATTCACGCAAGTGTCTGTTTCCTGGCTCCTCTGAGATTCTCAGTCCTGGAACCCAGCTGCACCCTCTGGAGAGCTACATGCACGAGCCTCCCCACTCCACTGAGCTCTAAGCCCAAGCACCTGGCATTGGAAGCTGCTCCCTAGCCCCCAGAAGGGCCCCTTCACTGCCACATGGAGCAGAGGACATCTCCCTACCAAGTCCTGGCCAGATGCGGATTTATGAGTAAATCAAGGGTGCCAGTGCTGCAAGCCATAAGGCCTGGATGGTTTTCCACAGTAAGAGGATGCCCACAGAAGCACCCACGCAGTGCGACAACTGCGCTGCCCAGGGCAGAAGAGGGGCCGAAGGCTTCTCCAATAGCTCCTCTCTGCAGAAGGGGGCAAGCAGATAACTTTGCAGAGATGAGCTAAGTTTTTCATAAACTGAGGAAATGTGCATAGTCTGAAAAAGCTGAAAACAGCCAGTGCAGAGGGCTGAACCATGCCCTCAGCCCTGCTGAAGTCCTGATCTAAGGTGACTGACTAGAGGTGGAGGGGAGTCTTCACAGGTGATTAAGTCAGATTAAGTCAGGTGAGGTCCTGACCTGACAGGGCTATGGCCTTGTAGGAAAAGGAAGAGAAAGAGAGACAGAGTTACATCTCTCTGACATAGACACTGCCACCTATACCTCGGAAAGGGGCATTCCAGGGTCCCATCACTAGCTCCTGACTTCAGGCCTCCAGCCTCCACAACTGAGGCAATGAGTTTCTATTGTTTCAGCTGCTCAACCTGTGGTAGTCTGTTATATAGCCTGAGCACTCTATCAGCCTGCTATATAAGATCTAACAAATTTACATCAGACTAAAGTCTGCTTTGAAAAAGCAGCTTTGGACCAGGCATGGTGGCTGATATCTATAATCCCAGCAACTTGGGAGATGGAGCTAGGAGGATCATGGTATGAGGCTGGCCTAGGCAAAAAGCACAAGATACTATCTGAAAAATGACTAAAGCGAACAGGGCTGGGGTGTGACTTGAGTGGTAGAGTGCCTGCAGAATGCCCCAAGTTCAAACCCTAGTTCAAACCCGAAAACAACAACCAAAAAAGCCCTGAAGTTAAGCAAGCATTTTGAACACATGAAACATTCAGATTTAATATATGAAAATAGACCTATTCTGGAAGATATAACAAACAGTATGTCATTATTATAAACTCAGAAGACCTTTTTAAAAGAAAAGAGCTACAAAAGTTACAAGGATCACCTTCCTGAGCAGAATGTGAGCACAAAGTGCAGCCGCCTCTGTCCCAGGAGTCCATGAACGCTGTGGCCAGCAGTGCGGTTTATACCTCCTGAAAAAGGATTCCCAGTCTCCATGAGCTGGCAAGGTGACAGTGGTTACGGACGATGGAGGAGATACCAAGACACTCGGTGTGCTGGCAAACTCAGCCTCAGCAGCCCTGAGGATGCACCAGAGGACTGGGGCTGTAGAGCATGGTGGGCACAGGCTGGGTGTCAGCAGACCGTAGATAGTGGAGGGAACGGATTCTGCTTACTGACGACCAGCTTCTGATGCTGATGGGATATGTAACCTTTGATGTGACCCTTGAGGAGAGAAAAGGGAATTGGTTTACACTTCCAGTCTGAGTCACAGCAGACAATGACATTCGTATCCAATCACAGTGCAATTCACCTCACAGGTGACCATGAAGAAACACGTATGGCAGGTAACGTGGAGATCTACTGGACAGTCCATACTATACCTGCCCTTTGTCACCCCAAAGGCCCTGTGAATGGTATTTCTAGGATAAAATCAGCTCTATTAGCAAATATCTTCACAAAGCCAGGCATGGTGGCACACAACTGTAACCTTAGCACCCAAGAAGCTGAGGAAGGAGGATCAGGAGTTTAAGGCCAGTCTGGGTTTACATAGCGAGTTCCAGGCTAGTCTGGGATACACAGCAAGATCCTGTCTCAAAAAACCAGGAAAAGAAAAAGGCTAACAGATAGGCTCAAGCGGCCATGGTAGTTGCTTTAACAAAGACGAGGACTCACGTACCATGTATATCAAGTTGGCCAGAATACACTGCACTTCATCAATGTCCACGTCTTCCACATGCATGAATTTCAAGGCAACCAGGAAGGCATCCAGAGACAACTGGTGTGTTCTGAGTAGCAAATACCTGGAAGAGGAAGTCACTGTCGTTACTTCAAGGGCCAAGAAGAGGCCCTGGGTCACTAGGAAATGACATTTTTTAATGAGCCAGTGTTCAAAAGAAATAGTTTCCACTAATTAGACACACCCTCAAATACACTCCAAAAATAAGAACTATTAAAATATTTTTACCTTTCTATTTTAAAAAGCCACTAACACAAATAGAATTAAAATATCTACTGAGTGGCTCATGAATATCTGAGGTGATGTCACCACACAGGCCCTCAGAGGTGCCTCCCGCTGTGTTGTGCTCTTGCACTTTGTGTCCCCTCACTCACACTCTCTTGAAGAGGCTCCGGTAGGTAATGATCTTCAGCTTCTCGAGGATGAGGAAGATGCCGCAGCGGATGAAGAAGGTCTCATGCTTCGCCAGCGCCTCGTTGAGCAGCAGCAGGTTGCCCTCACTGGGCAAGGGGGAGACAGCATATCAACACAGTTTCTCACACTGCGGGTGTGCAAGCGTCAGCCCTTCATTCCAGTGGAAAAGGACGAAACCTACCTGACAGCTTTGGTCACTTCAGCAAACTGCATGAGGTGGTACTTTCTCAAAAGCTCAATGGTTGGCATGTGGCCCTACGACAGAAAGAAAGCTGTTGTCAGTAAGATTCTCATCAGGAATTAAGCTTAAAAATAGCAAGCCACATCTCTTAGACTTTAAGTAGCTAAGTGAGGGTTTAATACATCATAGTATTCTAGGGAAAAACAGCTCCAATCTAAAAATCAGGAAGTCTGGGTACTGTATGGTCTTGTCAGGCCATGGATGTGACCTTGATCTAGACATTCCCATGTCCCTTAGCATTTTTGCAATGGGGGTGGGGGGGGTGGTTGATGATGACTGAAGAAATACCAGCACAAGCATAGGACTGGGGAGTAAGAAATATCTCCCAGAAGAATCAGCTAGAACATGTAAACTCCCCTCTTCGGTAGGGCTGGGAGTGTTGAGGAGCAAGTGCCACAATGCTGCTTTTCCATTATAAGTTATTCCAGACTGTTTAGGTTTCAGCCACATGTGGGTGCCACTTTCTTTTTATTCATTTATTTATTAGTTTTAGATGGGAGAAAAGAAAACTGCCACTTTGAAGTTGTTTCCACCAACTCATGTACCAGTTAAGTGGCTTTTCTGTTCAAGTATCAAACACAAATTTTAGTGACTAAACAGGATACATATGAAAAGGCTGGAATGACATTTTTCTTTCTTGTTAATCCACTGCTATGAATTTAGGCTTTTAGGGAACGTGTAAACTTTTACACTTCAGGGAAAACAAACTCTAACATTTACTTTCAAGAGAAACAAATCCAGGCAAAGCTCCTCTGGGAGGCCCTGGAAGCTCTGGTGGTGCAGTAACATCACTCAGCCCTTGCAGAGGCTCAGAACACAGTCCACACACCATTTGCTCTGTCTTAAAAAGCCCAGCCACTTCTGAGAGTGCCAGGAGCTACAAAAATGGATAGCAACACTCACCAACAGCATCTTTACCGGAAGCAAATATATCAGAATCATTCTCTTGTTCTTCTGGCTTGAACGGTGGCAGTGCTCAAAGGCAAACGACAGGTATTCCTCGGCTGCAGAGAGCAGGCCTCATACATCAGACAAGCTGGGCCCAGCCCCCTGCAGTGCACAACCCCCTCCCCGACCCCCGGCCCCTATTCCACCATAATCCTATAAAGAAGGCAATGTTACTTCCCTTTACAGTTTTAAAAACAGCAGCCCAACTTGTTTTCTGTCAGCAGTAACGTTTCTGAAGTAAAACCCACAGCTCCAAACCCAACAAGAGCTGCCTGGGACAGCCTACTTAAGAGGAAACTGCAGAAATGAACTTCTGCTGAGATTCTGATTTGCCTAAGGTCACCTGCCAAGCCACTGTGATTAGCACTTCAAACTGGAAATCATAAAGACATATAAAAGATATTGCTTCATAGCACATCTTAATCAGATAAACAGAATAAAATAACTGGGAGATACACCACCTTCCTGCTTAAAATGCAATTCACTATACATCTTTTCACTTAAAAAATATCCTACTAACGTGTAAAGCATTTATTCGATCCTGTGTACAACTTTAAAAGGGGTTCTATTTCATGTAATCTGCTTGAACTTAAGACTAAGAAAGACCTGGGCAGGGGCTTTTCAATGAAGTGTGGAGGCTGAAGGCACAGAGGACAGCCAGGGGTTGATGAACAGTGACTCCACTATCTCCCTGGATGAGAGAAGCCAAGCCGAGCTGAACTTGCTTCAAGAGCTGGGGAAACACAAGACTCATCAGATAGACGCACTCATATACCACAAATGTCTTTCTTGGACAGTGCTGCTACTTCCTAAATGTAAAGGAGCTGAGATGCTATGACCACAGTGGCCCATCTTAGGCAGACCCTGTGTCCAGAAGCCACAGGCCCTGGATCAGGATCTGAGGCCAACAGCTGAGGAAATCTGCACTGAGAACCACTGCCAGCTCCTACCCTGCATGGTCACATTTGACAAAGAAAACCTCTAACCTCGCACAGGAGGCAGAGCTCCCACCAGGAGCCCCTGCAGAGGAATAACCAAGGACAAAGACAAAGCTGAAAGACTGCATGTTCCACCAGCCCTCACAGTGTAGCTTTCCAACCTGGCCTTTGCTACTGCCCAAGATGACTGAGTCCCAAATCCCTTGGACACAGAAAACACATTCCACAGCTACAGCGTGGTGAGACTTTCTGCTGTCATCAAAGGAGCCTGAGACTTTTTGCACCGAAACTCTTATTTTGCTTGGAGTCAGAAGTATTGGGGGAGGGGGTTGCTGTTGTATAGCTCAAGTGGTAGAGTGCATGCCTAGCAAGAAAAAGTCCCTGAGTTCAAACCCTAGTACCACCAAAAAGGAGAAAATGTACATTTAGAGAGGCATGAGTCTCTGAAATTAATCTGAGTCTAATGAAGTGTATAACTGGGACATTCCAAGTACTTTCTTTACATAAATAATGCAAGATCCCAGGAAAGACTGAAAACCATCCCTGTCTGCAGCCCTAAGTTTTGGTACTCAAAGCCCCGAGGGCCAGGGCTGGCTTTTTAGGTGCATGGAGTAGCTCCACTGTCTGAACCATCAGTCTCCAGGACATGTGGTTTCTTTTACAGTAAAAGGAGAGTTGAATGAGATGCTCTTGAAGGAACTCCTTAGCTCTAAAGGCTTTAGAAGCGATGACCATCGAGCATCAACATTAGTAAGTCATCTCTGGCTATGGTACGTATTCAAAACGTCTACTCAATAAACTCCCAGGGACACCACATCGATACATGAATAGGAGCCAGTCAAAAATTTGAAAGCTCCTACTCTTTAAAAAAAAAAAAAAAATCAGAGAGGGAGATGGCAAAAAATCAAGGAAAGAAAGCCCTTCTTCAAAAGCCTGACTTCTATTAAAAATGTTGTGAGGGCCGGAGGTGTGGCTCAAGTGGTTGAGCACCTGCCTGGCAAGTGCAAGGCCCTGAGCTCAAACCCAGTACTGGGGAAGAAATGTGAAAAAAAATGGAAAGTAACATCAATAAGCCGCAAGGTGAAAAGTCAAGTCCTCACATGAGAGCTGTGCTTTTTGCTAAGAGGCCTTGGCCCTATCAGCAGAGGGGGACGGCCACTACTCACCCCGTCTGGCCTGAAGTGCTGCTGTGTGGCCTTGGAAGTGTGACCAATAGGTCACTGAAGCATCAATCTTAGGAGTTACTGTGAATACGATGGAAGAGTTCATAAGGAACCCATGTCAGCTAGTCTAAGTGTTTAAAAGGAGAAAGACTGGCTTCGTGTGATCTGATGTGAAGAAAGCGATGTGCCGGAACCCAGCACTGGGGAGGATCAATGCCATCACACGTGGTTTTAAAATAAAAGCCACAAACACCAACCACAGAACCAGGCCCAAGGAACTTCCCGGGATTTGAGATGGTGAGGCAGCAGCTGAGCCAAGTGTCATCCTTAGCTTCATTTCCTGTGTCAGCACAACCAGACACATGATGGGGTTGAAAACAAAGAGAGAAAACAGTCGCTCTTCTATTTGGAGACAGCTAGGCTTTGCACCTCAGAAAGGACATTCAATGTCAATGGTGACTGACAGTGCTTCAGGGACCCCCCAGTGCAATCTTCCCTTATTTAATCAGCATTAGCATCCACACTACATGTGACTCAGTCTGTCTGGAACGTGCAGCTCATCTAAAACTTTAGCACAGCAGTTGCAACACACCCTGCTTGAAGTCACTGTCAAACATGGCCTTGCGTCCAACATAGTACTTATACGTGACTCTCTGTGCAGTGCTGTAGTCATCTTTCAGATTGGAGCTGTCAATGGCTCTGATCAGGGGTTTACACAAGTGAAGTTTGTTGATCTGCAATGAGTAGCAATCCATTAAAATAGTTAAAACATCAACGACAAAACAGGCAGATGGAAGAACAGACACAAACTTCTAGGTGTGTGCCTCTAAAATGGGAGTAACAAATCATCTCTGTTGTCAAAATTATTCAATAATAAAACAGCTGGCAGAGTGGATCAAGTGGTAGAGTGCCTGCCTAGCAAGCATGAGGCTGAGTTCAAGCCATAGCACAGCCAAAAAAACAAAAGATTATTTAATAATAAAACATAAAGCGAAGACCACATGCACTCAAGGAAGCCCTAAGAAGCCTTCCAAGGAGCATTGTCCTGCGGAGAGCTGGAGCACTGACAGCAGCAGCCTGCACTTAAGCCAGGCTGGTGGGGACAGGCCAGACGTCCCCTTGGAGCAGAAGGGAGTGGTCCCAGCCACTGAAGGCTGATGGGCTGCCCTTCCCAGCTTGACTCTGATAGGAAAAGAGAGCTCTTAGTTCATCTATTTTTCTTCTTCACACCTTGCCACTTTCACAGGGTTGATATGAAACAAAGAATGGAAGGCACCACAATAGGGTCCCTGCACTGAGAGCCAAATCACACCACAGGACCTGATCATTCAGTGCAGGGCCTCCGCCCCCAGAGAGCTGGTCACTCAGTGTGCAGGACCTTCTCCCTGGACTAGCTGCAGTCAACTCAAGTCTTTCTTGTATCATACATTTGTGAGACATTTAGAACTTTGAACATGGGAGGCATTCAAAGAATGTCAGCTCTCAGGGTTATAAATGTGACTGGGTCATTTCCTAAGACATGCCAGGGAGGTTCAATGACAACAGTAATTGAATAGTAGTAACTGACCTGGGGAGACAGAGGGCAAGTTTGTAGGGAGTCTCAGGCAGAAGCATACCTTAAAGTAGATTTTGAACAACTGATTCACCAGAAACAGCATCCCCCACTTCTTAGAGTCCTCTATGCCAGCACGACTATGGGAGAGTAATGTTTTCACAGTTACAGAAGAAATGAGAATTTTATGCATCACAAACAAAATGAACTGCCTAAAAATGAGTACCTCTAGTTAAAGTCTCACAAATCTGTCCTATTTACCAAATAAAATAACATTATGAAAACACGATGTCTCACCTAATAGGTGAAATTAAAAAAATAAAAAGAGCAACCCAGGAATTCTAATCTCATTTAAACACTTGGTGCTCCCTCTGGCACATCAGTGGGAAATGCCTGGTTTCAGCAGTGTGGGTAAAAGCCATTTGTTAGGAAGGGTTTGTGAGAGTCAAGCATGTTCTGTCATCATTTCAACAAAATGCACCTGTGGACACAAAAGAGGACTCTCAAAGCAGGAGCTACAGGAGGCATGAGCACATACCTGCAGGACTTCCCATGCACAAGGTCACTGGGGCACAGTTCACCAAGAGGGACACACTAGGACATGGGGGGCCAGGCATTGTCTGAAGGACCACAATGAGGTCTGAGCCCTAATGAGCCTGGACTGGTTACAGGCAGGTTTTGTGTGTTGTACATTCTGTGTGGTTTTGTGGATGTACATTCACCACAAAGACAAAGAAGCTGGAGAATATGGAAAGCATACAGCATTTGTAACTCCGAAATACATTTTTTTACAAAAGAAGAAAAGATAAAATGTTCATAGAAGTGGTGGAGTTACAGGTAATTTCTCTAAAATTCTCCCAACTTCACTGAATGTTTGAAACTTTTCATGAAAAAAATGCAGTTGAGATGGCTGTGTACTTTCTCCGTAAGTGGTTCCCAGCCAGGCACAAGCCTGTGGACAGGGGTTCAGAGAGGCCCAATTGCAGGCTGCCTGGGAACACTAAACCCAGAGCATAATGCCAAGGAAGCATGATGGAAGTGCCCAGGACAGAAAGCATGCAGGCTGCTCACAAGCTCAGGAGCAGAACTGGTCCTCCAGGCCAAAATGTGCCCACAGGGAAGCACTTAATGTAAACAAGAATTCAGTTTTAGGTTACCAAAGCCTGTCTCATGCTAGCTGCCTAGCTAGCTGCAATAACCAGCTCTTTTTTATGATTACCATCACTATAACTAGAACTACGACCATTGTGCAAACGGTGACAAAGAATAACACAACTCCAAAGGGCCATGGCAAAAAACAGAAAGAAATGCATCGGCAAGTACTTTGTAAGTACAAAAATGCTTCATTCATGTAACGTCCCGCCAGTCAGGCACCAGGGACAAGGGCCTCTTTATGAGACATCAAAGGCAAAGACCAGGGGACCAAAGTGTCCCCTGAGGTTTGTCTTCTGGGCACAAACCGGGGAGTGGAATTGCTGGATCACATGGAACCTCAGGCCTAACTCTCTGTAGGAATAGCCAGATACAACATCTTAGGGCCCACTGGCAGTATACAGGGCCCCAGACTCCTCTCCTTGCCTGAAGTGTCTTGTCTTTTTGATGCAGCCACTATACCAGGTGTGAAGTGGCAGCACACTGTAGTTCTGACTTGCAATTCTTTAATGTGTTGAGCACTTTTCCGTGTGCTTACTGGTCATTTGTGTATCCCTCCAGAACATTTTTCAAATCTCTGTCCATTTTTTTTTTTATTTTGGTACTAGGGTTTGCATTCAGGACCTTGCACTTGCTCGAGTCACGCCTCCATCCCTTTGGCTCTGAGTATTTAGGACACGGGGTCTCACTTTCGCCCAGGTCAGCCCAGACCATCATCTTCCTATTTTATGCTTCCCACCATGGCTGTGATGACAGGTGTGCACCATACCAGCTTCTTCTATTGAGAAGGTGTCTTGTGGGCTGACCGGGAACCATGTTCACCTCAATCTCAGCTTGTTGTGGAGCCGGGATGACAGGTGTGCACCACCACACCCAGCTACTGGTTGAGAGGTGGTGCCATGAACTTTTTTGCTCAGGCTGGCCTCAAATCACAATCCTTCTGATCTCATCCTCCTGTGTAGTGGGATGACAGGGGCAAGCCACCAGTGCCCCGTTCTACTTTTAAGTTGGTTTGTCTTACATATTGTCCAGTTCTCTATATATTCTACATACAAACCCTTATCAGACATACCGTCCAATAAAACAACTTCACTTTGATTGTTCTGTTGAAACCCAATTTATCTATCATTTTCCTTCATTGCTGTGCTGTTGGCATCACATCTGAGGCCACATCAAGTAAGGAAGAATAGACTCATACAAATTTCAGTGTCCATTCCATAAACATTCACGGTATGATGGTGAGAGACACAGAGGCCTCATGCACTCTGCACACTTCAAATCACCATCCAAAACTGCACATGCTGAAGGTGATGGGTGTGGGTGGGAGCTAGGAAAGCCTTGCCCACTGTGGAGTCCACAGTGAGATCTCAATCCTGTGGGGACCAAATGGGCAGCACAGAGAGGTCTTATTCAAAAAAAA